AAACCAGGATAGGATCCAGAAGATCCCAGTAGCTACAGACCTATTTTGCTATTGTGTCACTTTTTTAAACTATACGAGAGACTCATACTCGCCAGAATAGAAAAAAATGTCGCCAAGCACCTCATCCCACAACAAGGAGGATTCAGACCTGGCAAATCTGGCACCGGTCAAGTCCTCGCATTAACAGAACACATTGAAGAGGGCTTTGAAGAAAAACCTATAACAGGGGCTGCTTTTGTAGATCTGACAACAGCCTATGACACAGTAAGGCACAAAACATTGCTCCGCAAATTATACGACACTCTTAATGACCACCATCTGGGAAAGGTCGTATATTCCTTACTGCAAAATAGACGTTTTTTCGTTATGCTGGAGGGTAAAGTAAGCAAGTGGAGAGTTCAAAAAAACGGCCTCCGTCAGGGAAGTGTTTTAGCACCAATGCTCTTCAATATTTACACAAACGACCAACTTACTCCAATCGAAACCAAGCACTTCCTCTATGCTGACGATCTTGCAATATGTGCTCAAGGAAATAGTTTTAAAGAAGTGGAGGAGAAACTCGAAACTGCCTTAAAAACAATGACAGCGTACTACCTGCAGAATTCTCTGAGACCCAATCCCTCTAAAACCAAAGTCTGCGCTTTCCACCTTCGCACAAAGGAAGCCAAGCGAAAACTCCAAATTGTGTGGAATGGTAATGCATTAGAACACACAAACCAACCTATATATCTTGGGATAACTCTGGACCGGTCCCTCACCTACAGACAACATTGCATAAAAACAAGAGGGAAAGTAACAAGTAGGAACAGCATACTCAGAATGCTAACGGGAAGTAAATGGGGCGCTCGTCCTGGCGTTTTAAGAACAACGGCACAGGCACTGTGTTTCTCAACTGCTGAATATGCATGCCCCGTTTGAAGCAGATCTGCCCACACGAAACAATTTGATACTGCACTAAATGAGACGTGCAGGATAGTAACGGGGTGCATGAAACCAACGCCTCTTTCAAATCTATATAGATCAGCGGGTTTTGCAGAACTCTCAACACGCAGAGGCGCTGCAGAACACATAGAGAAAATTAAACAGATCGCGCACAATCGGCATGCCCTATACAAAGCTCGAACACCACGAAAGCGACTAAAATCTAGAAAAAGCTTCCTTGGAACAGTGCAGGATGAACCGCCTGAGTATTTTCCACTTCCCCAGGTTCAATGGACCGACCAGACCCTAGACTTTAAAACGTGGAAAACCTTGAGTAGGATAAGAACGGGGGTTGCTACAGTAAAATCAAACAAGGCAAAATGGGGAAAAATAGACCAAGATGATGTGAACTGTGACTGTGGAGAAACACAGAATATGGAACATCTTCTTACATGCAGAAACTGTCCTCATCGATGTACCCTTGAAGATTTGTGGCTCGCCAACAAAGATGGAACCGACGTAGCCCGATACTGGGCCGAAATTTTATGAATGACATGGCCGGACCACGATAAAGTAAAGTAAAGTAAGTTTTTTAAAATGATAAAATCGTGTTAGTTCTAGATTGCCAACTTGGTAGTAATAGGCTTGGTAGTAAATCAATAATGAATGCGGTATAATTATACTAAGGCTAGCTCTCCACTTGATTAAATACATTGTTTCAAATACATACAAGTAAATTCATTTGCGACTAAATAATCAAAGTGATTAAGAAAACGTAACTTGTCTTATTTTTACCGCGACAGTCGCCTACCACACTGAATCATACGGACAAGCATAGATATGCATCTACTTACGATTTTTAAGTAGTGATTCTGAAACCAGCTAAGCCTGGTGTGTCTTCAACAATATTTAATTTATTTTTTTTTTTCAAAATTCGTAAAGTATATGCTAAAAATGATGGGCGCATTGTTCGTACTATTGATTCTAATTTTATGTACCACTAATTTTAAGTCATCATCGTTAACCTGTATATGTCCACTTCTAGACACAGGCCCCCCTCAACTCTTTCCATCTGTCTCTGTATTGTACGGCTTGCATCCAGTTATTGCCAATACGCTTCAGGTCGTCAGTCCATCTAGTTGGTGGGCGTCCTCAGCTCCGTATTGCTTCTTGTCTTGGTTTCCACTCTAAAAATATATTTTGTCCATCGTTTGTCTGATAAGCTGGCGAAGTGTCATACCCAATTCCATTTTACCGACCCGATTTTTTTATGACGTCTGTTGTTTTTGTTCTATGACGTATTTCTTCGTTTGGGATTCGGTCTCTCAGCGAGACACCCAACATCTGGCGCTCCATAACCACCTTAGTCCCGCGAATCTTATTACCTACCTTTTTCGTGAATGTTAATGTTTTCCCTCCATAAGTCAGTACAGGTAACACACATTGATCAAAAATTTTTCTTTTAAGTCATATTCTTAGATCCGATTTAAATACATAGTTTAGTTTACCAAACGTTGCCCAGGGTAATCCTATGCGACGTGGGAACTCACATATATCTGGTTATCTCTGCCCAACCGAATTTCATGTCCCAACTATTTAAACGATGTAGTCTGCACAATATTCCTTCCATCAACAGCAATATTTCAATTTAGCAGCAGATTAGTCATTATTTGTGTCTTGTTCATATTAATCTTTAGTCCAACCTTCAAGGAGACGTGATATAATTTTTCAGACAATATTATTGTCAACAACAAAACTCAAATTATTAAGCTTTTCTCCATTTATGTTGATATCTTGCTCGTTTAGATGTGCCTTGTTATGATTAGATAGTCTTCAGATAGTCTTACGCTAGCTATGACATTTTGGTAGATATATTTGATTATGTTGTGTAGAGATGTAGCGATGGTCTATTCGACATTCTGTCAGCTTTTAACATTTTCTAATGGTTTCTTAATATTCGTGCAAATAGTTTGTTGTATCATGCAGACTTTTCTATCAGGTTCTTCATTACTAGTAAGTGGTCATTAGTACTCTATCCCGTTCTAAATACAGCTTGTTCTATTGGCTGATAGAAGTCTAATTTAGCGTTCAGTCATTTTTTGATAATTTTTGTGAGAAGTTTATATGTATAAAAGCAAACCAATAGGACCGTAGTTTTTTAAATGTATTATGTCTCCTTGATTGTGTAATATAATAATGACTGCATTGTTTCAATTCAAAAGAGTTTTTCGTTGATAGATGCATTCGGTGAAGAGCTTGGCCTTAATTCTGATCCTTTGTTTGAGATTTTGGACAGGGGCTGATCTTGCCTATCGTCGGTAATTTTTTACACTTTGCGATAAAAGGATTCGACAACCTCAAGGATTTTGGTTCTATCAGTAGATATGTTTCCTTCTTTGTTTGTTATTTTGTATATATTTTTGTTGCCTATGTTGTTCTTATTTTGCCTCAAAACTTTTAAACTTTGGTTTCCTTGAATTATTTTAGTTATTTTTCTTGTATTGTTTTCTCTTACGTCTTTTCGGATTGACCGGTGGATATCGTAGATATATTGATTTAATTTCTTCATCTTTGTGTAGTTGGAGCCGTATTTTTCCATTAGCTATCTTCTTTTACCTATTAGCTCTTTGGTATTTTGGCTTAGTTTTTCTTTATAAGTCAGAACGGTCAGGCAGCACTTACCTTTCCTTTCTTTTAGAGCCTTCATTATGCCATTATTTGCTTGATCTACATCTTCTATTTCGTCTTGCAAGTCTTGTATATGGCTGGTTGGTATATCTTCATACAGGTCGTTGTTTTCTGGAAAAATCCACTTTTTTTCTTATTTTTAGGATCATCTTTATTCTATCCAATTTGACATTTAATAGTATCTTAGCTCGAATTAATCTGTTTGTCGCTTTCTCTTGCAAATTTGTTGAGTACTTCGATATCTTTAATTATTTGTTTTCTCTTTATTATCTATTAATCTTTTCTTTTGTACATTTCTTTCGCCATTGCTACTTTTGCATCATCTTGTTTAAACTCCATTTTTGCATTTAAGTTGCCTATTATTATTATATAATACGCTGGTGTGGCATGTAACGTTATTTCCAGGTCCTTATAATTTTTTTCAATTTCTTCATCCGAGTGGGTAGTCATTAGAGCATATGTCTGGATTACCTTGCCGATGATGTCCCATTTTATGTTTTTCAGATCTTTTTTAAGTTCGAACATCTTCTGGTCTGATATAAGGTTCTAAAATTGTATGAATCAGTACGCATTTGTCGCTCTTTGTAGTAGCCTGATTTCTTCCGCGGATTATTATCACCCTCTGCTCCAAACCTGTTCCAACCGCTACCTTGATTGGATGTGTTGCAGCCGCCGACAGTTCAGTAGTTTCATCTTTGATGGAAAATAACTTTTAAAGTTTTAAGCCATTAAAACGCCATGCTTGGCGTATTTAGTACGTGTTGGCAAGTTAGTTTAGAAGTGGGTGAGAAAAGAGGTGGAGATGGGAATGGTTTGAATTTGGACATTGTTTCTCCGGGAATAAAAGGCTGGGGAAATCCATAAGCTCGCGTGGGCAGGTGTGCTATTCCTGAAGTAAATCTATCCCCTGCCGGGATTGCAGAGAAGTATGCACCCGTTACGCTACCTTGATTTTGAAAACTATTGTTTAAATATCATATAAAACTCTCCTTTAAAATATCTTTGATGTGTTAACGGATGAATCCAATAACGATGCTTTCGTCGTTTAGTTCTTACCCGAAGCAAAGGAGCGATCACACAAGTAGTTTCATTGAAAAAATATATATTTCTTGAAATCATCAAGTGTCTAAATCTAAGTTCATGCCTTCTTCTTTCAGTTCCCGATAAAAATTCTAGGCTTATTTTATTTTTAAGTATTGTTTTTTAATTGTTAATGAAGCGCGTATAGCAGAACGGGAGCCCATTTGTACAATGAGAATTTAAACCAGCAAACATTTATGTATTTTTGAGCTTTGAACATAGTAATTTTACGTTTTTTTTTCCTTAATTTCCAAATAACTTAAATATTAAATATTATGAAAACATTTTAAATATAAAATATTTACTTTTAGCATCCTGATTATGGAGTACTAGAAAGCGAAGAATTACCTAATACAATTATGGACGCTACCGTACTATCTTTGTACAATCAAGATAGTTTTTCTGGTGGTGGTATGACTTTTATGCCTGTAGTACCAATGAAAAAATGGAAAATTGGTTTTAATGGCACAATGAAGTAAGATATTTGTTAACTCATAGTCTGTCTTTACGAATGTCTCAGTGTATATCATATTAGTCCTTGTATGTTTAATTGGTTATGTATTCATAGCTATCTAAAAACTAAAACACAGACATAATCATCATCCAGCCTTTTGCATCCAAAGTTGAACATAGCGTCTTCTAATTTCTTTCAGTTCTCTTGGCCTTTTTCAAGCTTCCTGCAGCCAATTACCAGCGATTCTTTTAATGTCCTTTGTTCATCCTAAAGGTAGTTTACCTCTGCTATTCGGTCTGCTCGTGATCTCCACACTGTAATTTTTTTAGTGCACTGCCTGTCATTAACTTTGGCCACATGATCTGCCCAGTTACAATTCAGCCATGTTATGTGCAGGCAATAAAAGCAGGAGGAGAAATTCTATCAAAATCAGTAAGCGAACTGTTTAATAAATGCTTACTTACGGGTACGTTTCCAAAAGACTGGAACAGTAAATTAGAAAATTATAGACCCATGAGCCTCTTGACACATACTCTTTATGAAAATCTTAACAAAAAACTAACTTAACACCTAAACTTGATTTCTGTCAGCCCAAAGAACAGGCAGGTTTCAGGGCAGGATATGGCACAAATGACCATTTGCATACAAAAAAAGATCTTAATAGAAAATTGCATCGAGTACAACATACCACCGGTTCTTGCATTTGTTGATTACGAGAAGGCTTTTGATTCTGTAGACCTTAAAACAGTACTGAAAGCCCTAAATCAATGCCGAATAGATTACAGGTACACGGCACTAATCAAAAACATCTACGATAATGCTACATCAAGTATACGACTACACGAAAAATTCAGCTTATGTCGAGGACTCGAGACAACATTTCACCAAAATTGTTTACAGCAAATCTAGAGTCAATATTTAAGATCATTCATTTGCAAGATATGGGCATCAATATAGATGGAGAAAGATTAAATCATCTAAGGTTTGCAGATGATGTTGTATTAATCGCAGATAACTTACAGGATACAGTTTCTATAATACATTTGCTTAATAGTCGTCTGAAAGAGCAGGATTAAAGATAGACTTATGACAAAACTAAACTTATGACAAATCTCGTAATGAGTGGAAATATAACTATTGACAATAATACCATACAACAAACAGACAAGTACAAATATCTAGGACACGAGATCAAAATAAGCAGAGACAACTAAACACATGAAACACAGAGGCGAATAGGCCTGACATGGACAGCATTTTACAAGTTAAGCCATATCCTAAAAAGTTCAATTCCCATGTAACTCAAGCGAAAGGTTTAGGACCAATATGTTTTGCCTGTACAAACTTATAGAGCAGAGACTTCAACACCCACACAAAAATCTGCGAATAAACTCACAACGAGCCGTGAAACGTGCAATGCTAAACGTGAGCCTTCGAGACCACATAACAAACCAACAAATCAGGCAAAGATCAGGAGTTCAAGACGTCATCGAAAATGCACCACGATGTTTAAGTGGAACTAGGCAGGGCACTTAGCCAGAAGACAAGATGTGAATGGAGCCCCAGAAACTATAAAAGGAGGACCGAGGACGACCACCGACTAGATGGACCGATAATATTAAACGTGTAGCGGGGCACTTACTACAAGCGGCCCAGTGCAGAGAACACTCGAAAGAACTGAGGAAGGCCTATGTCTAGCAGTAAACGCAATTGGCTGATTGATGATGTGCTTTATGACATACGACGCTTACTGAACTCTATAAAACCACTTTAATCCTACACAAATTCAAATGTTTTGAACAACATATACACCTAGACACTGATAATAAATATGTATTCCGAAAACATTTTGTTGTAATAAAGCCCGATTGGGTGTTTTAATTATATACCTTTTATAAAGGATTTCAATAAAGTTTTTGTAATACAATGGTATACTGCCAGCTACAGGGACAACTTAGTTTTCTTGTGGATTTTATGTTAAATTCGTCGGTGTTGATTTCCTTGTGTTCTATGGTTGGTGTCAGTTGGTCTGTGTCGTTTTAACTGGCAAGAACCACGTGTTAAAAACGAATGTTAACCCATATACGGATGTCATAGATACAACTTTATTGTTAGCTTTAACTACATAAGGCAATGAGGATGATCTGATTAGGTCGAAAACGTTATGCTACTACATAAACTTTGACAAAACTTTTTAAAAATTTTCACTATATGTTTTTTATACCCAAATACAATTGTGAAGTGTTTTAACTTCTGTATGTTTATTATTATCCCAGATTTAGCCATACGGCTCACACTCCCTCTAAGGGGAAAATTCACTCATCCCAGATACCTACGGTATCAAAAGGATTGAGCTCGGGTGGGACTCTTTCCATGTTATCGAGTCCTAGGTGACTTGGTACGTCGGTGTATCTCCTAAAAATTTTCGCACGCATCTGGACGTCGAAAGTAGCACAGCTTTCTGCATGACCTTATATAGATGTTCATTTAGACCCAGCTTTTTTATGTTTTCTAGGAGGTTCTTCGGAATGACTCCAGTGGTAAAAAGAATAATAGGTATCGTCTGGGTACTTTCCATTCTCCATTGTCTTCTTATTTGTATTTCCAGATCTCTGTACTTGGCGATCTTTTCGTTGTACTTAACACGCAGATTATTGTTGTTAGTTGTGTTGTTGTGCAGAGGTTTACCCATCCAGGTGCGCATTTTTTCGTTCTTAGTAAGATGGTTTACGCGCATTTCTTGTTCCCTCAGTTTGATCGGTGTTGTGTCATCTACTGCGCAAATCGCGCGATGGAGAGTAGATGTGTCCACCTGCACCTGAAAATAAGTTCTTAAATTAGTAATCTGTTTATCTAATTGCTCGCTTATATCAATAAGTCCTCGTCCTCCTAAATTCCGCGGTAATGTCGTTCTTTCTACTGCACTTCTAGGATGGTGTTTTTGTGCCTTTGTGAGGTGTGTTCGTACTTTTCTCTGAAGAGTTTCTATATCCGTTTTAGTCCACTTAATAATCTTAAATGAGTAGCTAAGCGCGGAAAATGCGTAGGTGTTTAATGCCTTAAACAAATTTTTACTATTAAGATGTGAGCGAAGTAGCTGTTTTACCCTTCGTATGAACTGTGATGTTAATTCGATTTTCATTTGTTTATGGTCAATTTTCCACGCTTGCTTTACTCCTAGATATTTATACATGTCATTTTCGCCCATAGCCTCGATGTTTTGGCCATTTTGCATATCGAATCCCCTGGGCTGAACCTTTCCCTTGACTATATTTAGTACACGACATTTGTCTAACCCAAAGTGCATACTGATATCATTTGAAAAAGTTTCTACAGTTTTTAGCATTTGATCTAAGTGATTTCGAGTGAAAGCCATTAGTTTCAAATCATCCATATACAACAGATGATTAAGCTTCGCCACTACAGTGTTGTTGTTTTTAATGCTAAAACCTGAGTCAGTGAAGTTCAGTAGCTGGGATAGTGGGTTCATCGCTAGACAGAACCACAAGGGACTCAGCGAGTCTCCTTGGAATAGGCCACGGTTAATTGCGATATTTTCCGTTTCGATATTGTTTTCACCAGGTATTTGGCGGTGAATTTTAGTCTTCCAATCTGTCATTATATGTCTTAAGAAGGTCACTATATTATCATCGACTTTATATATTCTTAATATATCTACCAGCCATTCATGCGGCACTGAGTCAAAGGCTTTCTTATAGTCAATAAAGGCAGTGAAGAGGTTCCTTTTTTGGTGTATGCCTGGTTAGAAATGACTCGATAATAAGTTGTTCTTTGCAACCCATGGAGCCCTTAGCGCATCCTTTCTGTTGAGGTTCTATGATGTTGTTTAGAGCGCAGTGTTGGTAGATACACTGGGCTACACAGGATGTGACCAATTTATGCAGAGTTGGAAGACACGTAATTGGGCGGTACTTGGCTGAATCTTGGGTATTATTTTGATCCTTTGGTATTAAATAAGTTGTTCCCTGAGTTAGGAATGATGGTTTTTTCTGCGGATTAGAAATAATACGATTAATTAATGATGACAGGCACTCATGAACACTCCAGAACTTCTTAAGCCAGAAGTTTTGAACTCCGTCTGGTCCAAGAGATTTCCAGTTATGAAGCTCTTTGATGATATTAGAGATTTCTTCTGTGGTGAAGGGTTCATAAACAGTTGTGCGGTAGTGTTGACAGCTGTGCGTCGTATTTTCTATCCATCCAGAATTGGTGTTAAGAGCAGCTGGTGTGGAAAGTTGATTTCCCGAAAACTCCTGAATGTCTTCTTGGCTTGGGTATGATTTATTGGCACTTTCGGCAGTGGAATTAAGTTTCCGATAGAACGCCTTCTCGGCATGCTCAAAAAGCGCATTGTCACATTTCCGGCTGTTACTAATCTTGTACCTCCTTAGTCGTCCTAAACAAACGGAGAGTTTTTGTTTTAATGTATCCAGGCACTGATGGGCTGTGATGTTTACTGGATCATATTGCGAGTGTCTTGCAGTGCTTAGCATTATTTGATCAGCTCTTTTAATGACTTTTCTACTTGTTTTTCCTCGTATATATTCTGTCATTTGACCAATGTCCCTACTCAATAATTCAATCTTGTTTAGGAGCCGTTTCTCCCAGGGTGCAACTCTGTTATCAGGCCTTCAGGCATTAGTACCCTGTCGTGTTCTGATCTTAATTCCCATTACATTAGCTGTTGCTGTTGCTGCACAGTAAATAAGCATATTATGCAAATATTCCAGCGTATGGGCTTCTACGACGTAATTGGGTAGGACTTATTATTATCCCAGATTTAGCCATACGGCTCACACTCCCTTTAAGGGGAAAATTTACTCATCCCAGATACCTACGGTATCAAAAGGATTGAGCTCTGGTGGGACTCTTTCCATGTTATCGAGCCCTAGGTGACTTGGTATATTGGAGTATCTCCCAGAAATTTTCGTACACATCTGGACGTCGCGAGGAGTACAGCTTTCTGCATGGCCTTATAAAGATGTTCATTTAGACCCACC